GCAGGGAAAAGGATCTTCCATGTTTGCGCTTTTCCACCCAGCTATTGTGAGCTGTAGACTAGTGTTATTAAACTCTTTTTACGTGGTGCGACTGCTCTCTCTCTCCCAAAGAAGTATATATAATAAAGCGCTTTCAGTTGTTTTAAGTTAAATTAAATCATATTAAATTTGTAGATAAAAGTATTAACGTGTAATAACATACTAAAAAGATAAATCGTAAAAAAGTTCATAGTGTATCTTATAAAAATATTTGGTATGATAAATAGAGAACTGCTCCAATACTCCTCTTTTCAAAAATTGCACACATCTCAAAGCAACATATACAGTATTTTTATATTAATTAAATTTCTTAATTATTTTTCACATGGGTTCCGCATGGGCCCATTCCATCCAAACCCAGCCGTGGCAAGCCCAAACCCAAATCCCCTTGTTCCCGTTGTCCGGCAAGGAGAGGACCAGTTCCGCCGCCGGCAGCGCGCCACTGCCTTCGCCTCCGCCTTGCTCGTACAGCCACAGGAATAAGATCGTGTGAACCCGAACATTCGGTGCCCCGTGCCCGTTTCTTTCCAGTGAAATTCTAATCTTCTTGTTTGCGGCCAACAGTCTATATGGTGACGGCTCGATCCTGCAACAATGTAGGAGTACTCCGTTGCGCCATGTGACGCCTGAAAGGTCCTTGTTGGTTTTGGTAATTGAGTGACAACCTAGGTGGACTAATTGTGTTTATGTGAGATACACAGGTGATTAGTCCACAGGTACATGTGTATAAGCAACATATGCCATGGAGGTGAAAATGGCTTGGAGATGTTGCAAAGCTCACACATGTGATGATGAAGGAGCTTATTGCACATGAGACATGACATTGAGTCATGTGATCAAGGTGGAGAAGATCAAGACAAGACTTGGCTTGATGGACCGGTTGCAAGCGTGAAGGGCAAGTCGAAGGCTTTGGAGTGATGGACCGCGTGGCGGTGAAGCTTAAGCAAGACTTGGTGTCGATGGACGATGGCAACGGTGAAGGGCAAGTGAAGTTAAGATCGATGAACCAATATGATCACGTGATGATATGAAGTGGATCATATCATTGTTGATCGTGTTGGTGCATGTGTTGCATCGACATTGAAGGAGATGGAATGGAATGCGCAAGGCAAAGGTATAACCTAGGGCATTTCATTTCACCGGTCATAGGTGTGTAGAGAAGTTTATGACCGGGTTTAGGATAGATGGCCGTACTATCAAGAGGGGCAAACTTGTTTGCATATCGGTCATCTAGTGCCACTCGAGTGATCTAACTTTGCATTGTCGCTAGGATCGAGTGGTGTGGCAAGTTGAGTGGCTAACATCCTTTGAGAAATGATTGTGAAAATGCTAACACACATACACATGGTGGTGTACACTTGGTGGTGTTGGCACATTTACAAAGAAGGTGGTGTTTGCAGGGGTGAGATGCGGCGCTTTCGGGAAAATAGAATGCCTATTTTCTATTGCGCCGGATGCAAGTTCTTGTGGTTAGCACATTGGAGCAAGGGTGATGAAGTTAGAAGTGAAAACGAGTTAGTCGCGAAGATGCTGGCGTCGGTCAACTGACCGGACGCTGGATCTGAATGCACCGGACGCTGGCAGGCTGCGTCCGGTCAGGCTGACGTACGATGACGCGGAAGCTGGAGTGTGACCGGACGCTGGCTGCGTCCGATCATGTGTGACCGGACGCGTCCGGTCGAGGTCGGTACCTTACTGGAAACGACCGGACGCTGGGGGTTCAGCGTCCGGTCAGTTGAAAGCTGCTGCGTCCGGTCAAGTCAGGTGACCGTTGGAATCAGGACACGTGGTCGTCTGCGGGCGACTGGACGCTGAGGTCCAGCGTCCGGTCGGCCCGACCGTTGCCCAGTGAAGGGGTAATGGCTAGTTTAGCCCTTGGGGCTATAAATAGAAGTGGCCCTCGGCCATGGCTGGTGCTGAGCACCTCAAGGGACTTAGTGTCCATGCTTGTGAGTGCTTGGGAGCCCTCCATCACACATATACTTGATAGTGATCATTCGATTGTATGAGTGAGCGATTCTAGTGCGATTGCATCGTGGGGTTGCATCGAGTGGCACTAGGTGGTCGTGTTGCAAGCCGGTGGTGCTTGTTACTCTTGGAGGTTGCCACCTCCTAGACGGCTTGGTGGTTGTCTCCGTCGAAGCGCGCAAGAAGCTTGTGCGGCGCTCCGGAGAAGTGCTTGTGAGGGGCATTGTGCTCGCCCCACGAGAGCCGCGAAGAGCAACTCTAGTAAAGCGTGTCATTGAGCTACCCTCACTCAAGGGGTAGGTTCTTGCGGCGTCCGACGTGTGGGCTTAGCGGGTGATGCTAATTAGCCGCCGAACCACCAAGTGAGCGGTCGACACAACGGGGACTAGCGTGTTGGCAAACACGTAAACCTCGGGAGAAAAATCATCGTGTCAACCTTGTTCTTCCCGTTGGTTTGCATCCCCATTACACAAGCTTGCAATTACTTTTATACATATTAAGCTTGTGTAGTTGCTCTTGTAATTAGATAGCTTGTGTAGCTTGCTAATTACCTTCTTGCTTGTGTAGCATAGAAGTAGCTCCCTTGCGTGGCTAATTTGGTTTTAGTAACCTTGTTAGTCACATTACTTAGTTTATATAGCTAAGTTCTTGCGCTCTCTAATTAGGCATTGGTTGCCTTGTTATTGAGCATTGCTAGTGAGCATAGTTAGCTTTGTGCTTTTGCTTACTAGCATGTGTAGGAGCTCTCTTGTTACTTAAAGTACTAGTGGCATAGGTTTGTGTGACCTTGCTCCTAGAATTGTTTAGGAGAGCTCTAGCTAGCCCGGCACCTTAGTTGCTTTATTAGTATCTTTGCAAGGTGCTAGTGAACATATATAGAGGGGTGTAGTCTTGGCTAGACCGATTGTTTTAATTCCGCATTTATATCGGTTAGCCGACGCGAATAATTTTAGAAAATACTATTCACCCCCTCTCTAGTCCGCCATCTCGACCCTTTCAACGCCGGACCTTCTCTCTCCGTCGATAAGACTAAGGGTGTTTTGGTTGAGCTGTGGTTGTGGGAAAAAAAGCTGCTGTGGACTGTGGGCTGTGGAAAAGCTGCTATGGGCTATGAGCTGTAGAAAAGCTGAAAGCTGTTTGGTTAAACAAATATAAAATATACCTTCTATCTTTATCTCTTTTGAAACAACTATGGAAGAGATTTTTATTCCACTAATTTCGAAAAGCAGAAAGCCAAAAGTAAAAAATATGGTCAAACCAGCTTTCAAAAATGTACTACAGAAAAGCTGCTGCTTCTGAAAAAACAACCTCTAAAAACAGTCCCTTTGATTGGGCTTTTGGCCCCAAAAGCTAAAAGCCAAAAGCCCAACCAAATAGACCCTAATGCTTGGAGTGTCCTGCGCCGCTACGACGATGCCGCCACGAGGAAACGATACATGCTGGAACCGAACAAAGGGGATCGCCCGGGGGAGAGATGAGTTTGGACTATATATGGGCGGGGAATGGGCTGGGTTTGGATAGGACTGGCCCATTGGTTACTCACAGTCTGTTCGCTGGTTGGTTTCTGAACTGATAAGTTCGACTGGTGCTGATTTGTTGTGAGAGAAAAATACTATACTATGGTTGATAAGGTCTGACTGAAACCAACGAGCGAACAGACTATCAGTTAAAAAATAGTTAAGAAATAATTTAAAATTAAATGGGATGCTTTGAGATCTATGTAACTTTTTAGAGAGAGGAGTACCGAAGCAGTTCCCTGATAAATATTAGTACTATTCTTTTTATAAGGTTAGTCAAACCGACGATAGCAATTGAAAAATATTTTATATATTATATCAACGTCACATTATTTGTATATATTTAATATTAATTTCACAGTTTGATGTGCCATGTGCGCAGCACCCTTGCTCAGGTTGGATCAACCTTTAGAAATTGTGAAAAGCGGTTGCTGGTTGCTGTAGGGCTTTCAAAGCTGAATCGTTACAACCTGACCTAGAGGTTATTAAAAAGATGCCTGCACAAGCATGCATGTTCGAATCAGATAAAAGTTACTACGCATCGTATCGATGTTTAGATCGGGCTAGGAATTAGTATTTGGCACTGTACCACTTCATTTGTATTTAACAATTATTGTTCAATCATGACCTAACTAGACTCAAAAGATTCGTCTCGTAATTTACAATCAAATTATGTAATTAATTATTTTTTTATCTACATTTAATATTCCATGTATGTATCTAAAGATTTGATGTGATAAAGAGAGAGTGAAAAAACTTACGATCTAAGCAAGGCCCGGGGAAGCAAAATTCTGTCTTGCCTGCAGCCTGCTTGCCAACTGGCTCTACTGCTACAGGAAGAAAGCGAACCTAGCCGTCCTTTCCATACGAAAAGAATGTACTTTTCATAAGTTGCGTTTTATAACTACTACCGGAAGAAAGCGAATCTAGCCGTCCTTTCCATCATTCCACGTCAAAAAAAAAAACTTTTCATAAGTTGCATTTTAAATTTAAACTTTTGTTGTTCCTCCTTTCTCGTCGCACCCGCAGGAAAGTGTTTGGAAGGAGCGAAGCTATGAAAATGTCAAATGCACGCACCTCCGCCCTCCGTAGATGGTTTTCTCACTATCAATATCGGTAACAAACGAGAGGATAAAAGGTAGTACGAGTTTGGGTTGCCCTGCATCGGGCCTGCAGGTGCACCACATAGTAGGCGTTTGCCGTTTGCGCGGGTTCAGGCGTCGACCAAGGAAAGGCAAAGGCTTCAGATCGCGTGGAGGCGACGCGCTGATGTCCAGAGACGCACGGGGCGCCTAGTAGTCTGTGTTGTCCGCATCCTGTTGTCCTGGCCTCCTCGACGTACGAGGGCCGAAGGGGAAGGACAAGGGGAGTTCGTCGGCTCTTTGGTCGGCGCTCACTCGACTTGCTCTGCCTCCGCGCTGCCCCTCCCTCCTGCTCGATCCGCCTCACCTCCTCCGCCTCTGCTGCTGCATCGCAATGTCCCAGTCCCAGAGCGAGGCGGCCATACGCCGGGCGGGTGCGGTCGTGGCCCTCGCCGCGGCGTCCGTGCTCATGGCCATGGGCTTCCCCGCGGTCGAAGAGCGCGCGCATGTCGTGCTGGCCCTGCACGCCGTCCTGCTGCTCGGCTGCGCCGCGGTGCTGCTCTCCCCGGCGCACGGCGCCGTGGCCGACCTCGCGCGCCGGCGCCGGGCCACGGAGGCTTCCCGGGGGACGACGTCCCTCGGCGCGTCGGCGCGCGCGCCCGCCGGATTGCTGCGGTGGCTCGGCTTCGCCGGCATCCTGCTCTACGTGCTCTACGTGCCGGCGACGTCGCCGCGCGGAACAAGGCCGCGGCGGAGGCAGTGGCGGCGTGGCTGGATACGGTCAGAGATTTCCTCCTCTTCCTGATGTTCTTGGTGGGAGTTTGGGCAGTCTGCCTGTCCATGGTCAGTGGAAGGGCTGTCCCGCCACCGCGGTCGTCGGCTGTGGCGGCTGTGGCGGAGGAGGAAGACCCTGACGGCGTGGAGGTCAACGCCATGGCGCCTGCACGTGTCGTTGTTGATTCAAAGGTTTGGAATATCCATAGCTTTGCTCTTACTTATCTTGAATCTCTCAAGATTAGCCGTCTTATCAAAGACTTGTGCTCCTGCTCCTACTAAACGTATCTCTGTTACTCTGTTTTTCCTCAGCTCTAACCAGTGACGACGGCGGCAGGAAGACGAAGAAAGCCTCTGGCAGATGGCGATTGTATCATAAATAAACAACAGGAGCCACAGATAGCTGTAGCTCTTCTTTGATACATCTGCTAGATTACTACTTTTGTTTTGTACATCCTTTGTTCAGTGTTTGCCCCCTTTTGTACAGTATTTTGTCGAAATAAGATCTTTGTACATCATTGATATAGGATTTGAGTTCCGTATGCAGTAGTATTTGAGTTTTCGGAGTCTTTAGAACTGTCCAAACTTGACATCACAGCACAACGAAAAACGAAGTTCATGTTCTGAAATACTAGCATTTTTTTTTGTATCTTCTGTTCGTAAAGAAACCAGCAAGTACCGAGCAAATATTTGTATCTTGTGGAGTGTTGAACCCCGCTCTGGCGTATCCTGATGTGGACTTTCTCCGTCCCATGAGGCAGGAAGTTCTTTTCCTGCTTAGTCCGTGATTAGGGCGGCCGATTCGGCGCCGACGGAATCACGGTAGATGCACTGTCCAATCGTTGACTAATTAGGCTCAAAACGTTCGTCTCGTAAAATACAACCAAACTGTGCAATTAGTTTTTGATTTTATCAATATTTAGTATACCGCAAATTTGATATGACGAGAAATCTTCTTTTTACATAGTATTAAAGTTAAGAATTTGGTGGATTGGCACTGAGCCACTGACGGGCTCTCAGATTGTCTAGTAGTAGTACTTGATCTACAAACCTAGTGTCCTCTTGCATGTTTTCTTGAAGATACGCTAAACTAAACTATCCATGACGTTTGTGCGCTACTCCAGCAGCTGTTGAAGCCGCTGTTGCTGGTTTTCTTCAGCCGTAGCTGCTACAGTAACACTCCCGAGCAGGTTGTACATTCCTATAGCTACTGATACATAAATCAAAATGATGGTTCCTATCGTGTTGTTGACTTCTCGTCGTTGGAATGTGTTTGGAAGGAGCGAAGAGGATATAGATATGTAAAGCATATGCCCTTTTACAGCTGTTTCCAGTAGACATTTGTGCCTTCTGCAGTTGGATTTGTATATTCTGCTGGTTCCACGTGGCCCAGGTTCAGTGCTGGTATAAGTGCTGCATCGGTACAAACTGTACTGCAACGTATGCATCTACGAGGAGAAGTAGTAGTAGGCAAACATTAAAAAAACCAAAGAGAGAGATTAGAGAGAGTCCAGAAAAGAGAGACTTTTCGCTCAACGTGCGTGTCGTCGGGAGCAGATCACCTGACGTCGCCCTCCGGACTTCCCTGCAGCGATCGGACCTGGAGCTGCACCTGCATCCAGATGGCAGCTGAGTTGTGCAGTGCACACGCACGCTGCGTAGGCGCGGCAACGAGACGTTTCCGCGCTGGTAACCAGGCGCGGTGCAGGGCACGGGAGTTTTGTCCGCAACCTGCTGCGATCATTTGCTGTTCGCTGCTCGTGTCAGTTGCCAAGCTCGAGACAGCGAGAGCAAGAATTTTTATTTTTGAAGATCGCTGCCTATCAGCGTTCGAACTTTTCAGCTACAGCTGTTGCACCTGGTGTTCTCCACAGCATTTACTCCCACTTGCGTGCTGTGCAGTGGAAACTGGCAGACGGGTGCCACGACGCAGGACCAGCCGCAGCACCTTGCGACACCCATTGGTGACCTTCCGTGACCTTGCTGGTGAGTCCTCGCTCGCACACGCTCGACAGATCAGGAACCATCCACGCAGGGAGCGTCGGCAGCAACAATGGCGGTGCGGCCAACTCGTGCGGGCGGAGCGAGTTAGGCGGCGGCGGCGCGGTGTTCTTGCGCGTGTATTGGCGTGCTCTTGCGCAGTATACTGTCCTCGAGAGGTGATGGGCTGCTGGGCTGCTAGGCGAGACCGGACTGCGAAGGGAACGAGCTGGAGCAAGAGTGGCCGGCGTGGAGAGAGACTGGAGCAGTGCCGACCTCAACGTGATCTGATTCCGTGTCGTCTGTCTTAGCCTCGAAGAAGAAACTCTCTCCCGTGTTATATACTTGGACAGATTTTATTAGATTCAGGAAGATCGACCAGCTCAGCACTAGTTCGATTTGTTAGGTGTCGCGGCATCGCGCCGTGCATCGATCGATGAGACCGGCAGAAAGGGACGAGGAGATGCTGTCAATTAAATCGTTCATCCTACGTAGTACATTCCTACGGTAAGGTTTGCGCTAGTTCTCGGCTGCCGCTCGGAGTACACACTCCATCGGAGTATATTAGGACCTCCGACCGGCGGCGATGCACCGGCGACAGAGGCGAGAATTCTGTTCGCATCTCCAGAAGCCAAAAAGGACTGCACTTCACGTTGCCGCCGTCGCCTGCTTGTCCATGCCACTATGCCAGTACATATGAGACGTGACAGCGTCCTGCTTGACACTTCTGACTAGACGATCAATAACGTCCAAAGTAAGTCTTCTCTCTGTTTTTTGGAATGCAGAATTTCTTTTTCATTACTATAATTTTCCTGTAAATTAACTGATTTCTGTAAAATTCAGATATGATTTCTGTGAAAGAATTGTTGGTTTATCGCAATGAACTAGAATTGTTGATATCATTAATGATTTTATTTCAAATAACACTAAGACAACGATACTGTTCAAAAAAAGAGTATGCAACCAAGGGCTGAATATGTACGATTCTTGGTTTATCGCAATGATGTACATGCTACTATCGTTGCATTTTTCTAGGCCGGCCTGCACAGCCAATCCCTCACCCTCACATATTTCACCTACGATCTCTGCAATCCTCCACCCACAAACCAAGTTCCTGACAACGAGAAATAGCAAGCTGGTGGATACATAGTGTCTGTATATTAGCACCATAAAGCCACCAACAACCCCTTACATAGTGCAGGTTGAACCGTGCAATTGGTAAGCCCAACAAGTACACAAATTAGCAGCTGGTAGATACTGGTAGATACTAGGTTAGGTAAACATTTATACATCAGCAAACTTTCTGCCACCCAAAAGGTTCAAGACACCCAGCAATTTCCAGATGCGAGCTTGTCCAACGCTCCCGCCTCCATAACTGAGTGAAGGAACGAGGAAACATGTTAACATCAGGACAGGCATTCATCATCCTGGAAATTGTGTAACGTTCACTAATTTCTACAAAACAGTAAGAAATCAAACAAGGAGAGTCACTTGCAATGGAAGTACAGTAAGTTTTAGAAACAAACATCTCTTTGGTTCAAACTGTGGACATGTCAAATTAAGAATAAGAAGACAATGTGCCAAGCTATCTACGCTTCCAACAACAGCTAAGGCAATATGCCTTCCGACAAATACTAAACAAACAATTATCTTGCTAAACTTACAGAAAAAGTAATATTTTACCAAAAAAAAGTACAGAAATGAAATTGTGTAAACTACTACTACAAACCTACAAGAGAAAGGTGGAGCACAGAGTTCAAGTACCAATGAAATGTATCTGGAAAGGAAAAGGCGATGGTACAATAAAAAAAACCAACATCAGTTGAAAGAGTCACCTAGTACTTGCTCAGTTCATGCATTGATTGCATGCCTATTAGACATTGATCAAATAGCTTGGACAAAAGGAAGCCATCCACCCAAAATATATTGGCTTTGCAATGTGAGATCAAGATAACCTCACTAAAGCAGCATAGGTCCTTGTATTTTCAAAATTAATGGAAGTGAGATTATAAACATTGAAGTTTGTTGATCAAAAGCTGAAAGTTCAAATACAATGTGGAAATGGGAGAATTTACCCCAAAAAAAAAACAGAAGTATGAAACTCTGATTCAACCATTTCAAACAATGAAGGTCAAATTTTACCTGTGCTGCAATCACCATATTAGAAGCTACTAGTTTCATCAGTGCTCACTTTCAAAGTACGAAGTTGCTCGAATTATGTAGACCTGCACCACTTGCACAAGAGAAATTGCTTGGTCAGCATTATAACAATCATAGATTTCTCCTAGTTAGTCCTTAAGAAAAACAGATGGTACTGGAACAACATGATAGATAAGAGGCCATAGCCCATGATAACATCTGAATCTGATAACTGGAAACAATTGAAGTAAATTTGTACAAAGGTCAAGTTTGAAACAAGACAGATTTTTATTTCTTTCTAAAGAATCTTTGATTCCGTAAATTTGGGTTGTTGTTATTCAGTTCCCTGCAGCAACACTCAGCCACCATGCAAGTTCCACTGACAATTCAGACATGTTCTTGCTATGCAAAATAGATCTCAATCACCTTGAACCTTGTCTGCTCAACCAGTTGGAAGACCAAGCAATCTCCATCATGCAGCTTGTGCTCGATGGCGAACCCTTTCCATCCAGTGCTGAGGCCAGCCTTCCTTGCGAGGTAGAGCGTGTCTGACTCGTCATCCTCCTCATCCACCAGGGTGATCGTCTCATCACTCTTCGGCAGGTGCTTCCGGCAGAAATACGTCGGGAGGCCCTGCGATTTCACACGCCAACCAAACAAGAATTTACCTCGATGGGGGGATGAATTAATAATCGAAAACAGCAGGACGTGCCGAACTGAAGCTTCCTCTAGTTTACCAGCCAGAAGCCTCTGGTGACATGGGACTGTATCATGGGCTGGATGAAGATGGGGAAGCTGGAGCCCAGATCTTGCACCAGCTCCTCAGCCTTAGAGATGGCGTAGCTCCTCTCGGCAGCGTCCAGCGGCACCCGCGCATTATACTTGAGCTTCCTGACCCTGACCTGCAGAAAT